CTGGGGCCCTGGGGGCACAGCCCTGCCCTGAGTTTTTGAGGGTACAAAGCCACCCTGGGCATCTGAGGGCACAGAGCCCTGTCCCTGGGGCTCGAGGGGGACACAGGCCCACCCTGGGGACTGTAGGGGCCTTCATCCTGTCAGTAGGTGGAGGCGCCTGGGGCCTGGCTCCTGGAGTACCTGGTGTGGGTGACGATGTCAGTGAGGGCGCCCCCCTCCAGGAACTCCATCACCACCCAGAGCTCGTCGCCCACCAGGTAGCTGTTGTACATCTCCACCACGTTCTCGTGCTGGTAGTCCCGCATGATCACCACCTGCGGGCGCGGCGGGCCGTCAGCGTGGGGACGGGGCGCCAGCTGCCCTCCTCCCGGGCCTGGGCTCCACCACACTGCTGACTGAGGGCACCTCTGGCCCCCCCACTTGTTCACTGCCTCCCAGATGGCCCCCCCACTGCCAAGGCCAAAGGAGCTCAAAGATGGGGCAAGGCCTGAAACCTCCCGCCGGGTGTGCTCCCCACCCCAGGCACACACACGTTTTGACCCTAAACTCTGGCCAGCCCTAAGCTGGTCTCTGGGTGGTTCTGGCGCCGGTAAGGAGTATCTAAGCATACGGAGGGGTCAGCCAGCGGGCAGCCATGCTAAGAGTGTGTGTCAGAGGAGGCTTCCAGGGCAGAAGGGCGAGCGAGGCTACAGGCCCATGTTAGAAGTTCATGGTGCAGCCGGGGAACTGTAATGTTGAGGGACAGGTGTGAGCTATGGGGTGCAATTGAGTGCTGAGATTGGGAGGCAAGAGCCAGAGTCTGGCCTGCAGGCCGACACCCTCCCAGGATCCCTGTGTGTGGAGGGGGCTCTCAACAGGCAGGCCCGTCTGGACAGCGAGGGATCTGGCCTCTGTGGCCCGCCCCCGCAGAGGCTGTTGAGAGCCAACATCTGAGGCTGGACGGAAGCCGGGGGCCTGGCCTTTTATCCTGAGGCACCAGGGGGCGCTGCAAGGGTGTGGGAAGAGGGGGTGTGGCAGACCAGCAAGGCAGTCTTCTGGATGCCTCTGGGGAACCCAGCGGGGAAGCCGGGCTGCCCAGGCAGGAAGGAGTGACAGGCTGGGTGAGGCGGGCTTGAGTGGGGTGGGGCCCAGGAGCTGGACAGAGCTGTGGCCCTGGTCACCGGGGACAGAGGCGCCAGCCCCGAAGGGCTCTTCCCCAGCCTGACCCATGCCAGAACCTGGCGGAGGCACAGGGAAGGCGAGGGGTGCACCGCGCACCTCGTTGAAGAGCAGCTCGCGCCGCTGCTGCTTCCGCAGGTCCATCTTCTTGACGGCCACCAGCCTGCCCGAGCTGCGCACAGTGGCGATGCACACGATGCCAGTGGAGCCCTCCCCGATCTTGATGAAATTGTCCAGGTAGGAGCGGGGGTCGCCGGGGTCCACCACCAGCTGCAGGGCTGCCCGGAACTGCTCGTGGGATACTCGCTGGGGTTCCCGCTGTGGTGAGCGGGGGCCAGGAGGGCCAGCAGCAGGGGGGCCGGTGGGGGCGGGGAGGATACGAGCTGGAGGGGCCAACTGGGGTTCAGAGGCGTGGGGACCCAGCACTCCAGGGCTGGGAGGGCCATGGGCTCGGGTGGGCGGCCTGGAGGAGGAAGACTGGGGGACAGCCAGGCTCCCTGCTGATGGCCCATTGGGGGTCACTTTGTGAGGCTCCCCCTGCAACAGAAAACAGAGGTGACATCAGCGGCGGGGTGGGGTGCCGGCTCTGCTCCCTGAGCAGGAGGGGCCCCGGCGGTGGGACAGACACACGGTGGCTAGGATGGAGATGGACAGTGGGCAGGCACGGGGGGGGGGTCTGAGGAAAGTCTCGGGCAAGGGGACAGTGGGGTGCCGGGGTAGGGAGGTCGTTACCTGCAGGCCCCGGGACGGGTGGTCCGTATCAGCCCGAGGGTACGTGTTAAAGGGCCGGCCAGCCACCACTTTGGCCCCACTGGCCAGACCAGCGGGCTGAGGGGTGCTGACATCAGGCCCCGAGACTGGGCGTTTGTCCCGGGAGGACTCGTGGGGCCCTCCTGCACCCTCTCTGGAGGACTTGGGCCTCTTCTCTGGCCCGATTCGCCGCCTGTCACCACTGCCACCACCCCCCTCGCTGCGGCCAGGTGCGCGGTTGTGGCTGCCGGCCTTCTCTGGGCCCCCTCTGACCACGGCGGCCTGCTCCGCGGATATCCCATTTTCCTGGCGGGTACGGGCGGGCGGCGGTGGGCTGTCTCTCCGCAGGGAGTTGGAGCGCGTCACCGACATGTTCTCAAACTCGCCGAGCAGCAGCGTGAGGGCCCCATCCTTGGCGCCTTTGCTGCCCCGCACGATGGTCTGGGGTCCAGGGCAATGGCCAGGTGGGGATGGGCAAGGAGAGGGGACACAGGACGTGGAGCCGACCACAGACAAAACAACACAACACACACAGAGACAAGACAGAGACGAATGAAGAAATGCCATGAGGTGATGGTGGGGCTGGATGGCCCCCCGAGAAGCACCCCTCCCCTCACCCCGCCTTTCTCCTGCCCTCCAGTTCGCAGGGACTGTCCCTGCCCTTTGGGGTAGAAGGGTGGAAGAAAAAGACCACACCACTCCATCCCCAGCCCTGGAGAGATGCAAATGACAGGGTGCTGGGGCCAGGGCTGGGCTGGGCACTTCCTCTCCTGCAGCCTGCCAGGGTTAACCCCCAGCCATGCTCTCTGTTTCCCAGGGGCCAAGGGTGGGGTACAGGGGCCGTCAGAAGGGACTGGGTGCAAAGTAGGAACAGGCCAGGCAGAGGCCGGGTGCGGCTGCAGTGGCGGGTCTTACCCTCTGCGGCCACCACCCTGGTCCGGTCCCGACGCGGCCCCTCCGCCCCGCCCTGGCACTGAGGCACAGCTGCTTCTGGCCCAGCTCCAGGCCCCTCACCGCCCCCACCCAGGGCTCTGCACAGTGTCTGCGCGGCTGCCCTCCCCCACCTTCAGGTGTTTGCTGCAAACTCGGTTTGTCAGAATGAAGCTTTAGCTTCACTTTGACCCCCTGAAGCCTAAAACGCAGACCCTAGGCCTCCAGCTCCCCCACTTTTTCTTATTGTCTAGAGCATTGAAAGCCAGCTGCAGAAAGCACACAGCTGCCTGCTCTCCAGAAGGAACGCTGGAGCAATGTCCTCAGGTGCAGGACAGCTCCTCCCAGCATGTCTGTGCTCCCGCCACCTCTCAGCGCCCAAACAGCAGCGTCGGGTGCACAGCAGGTGCTCAGCACACGTTTCTGAGCCGGTGCGCGACTAAGGTGGGCGGGGCGGGGCTGTGGGAGCAGGGAACACGTCCCCACCTTCTGCTGTCAGTCCTGGGCATGCAGGGATGCTGAGCCAGGGCTGCCTCTGATCTGCAGAGGCCAGGGATCCCGCAAAATCCACCCCCAGGCCACGGTGGCTCTGGGGAGCCGGCCCCTGCTTCTCCGGGGCCTTGGCTGTCAGCCCAGGGTCCAGTGAAACAAGCCAGACACCTGGTGGGACTGGGAGCGGGAATAAGAGGCTGAGAGGTCCCCTGTGCTGGGGGGGCCCTGGAGAGACTGGGGAGAGTCCCAGCCAAGGGCTGTGAACACGAGTCCCAGGACGGCGCCAGCCACGTGGCAGCTTTATGAGAACTAAGACGAGAGGCACCTCCTGCTGGCGGACAGACACAGGCTTCAACTGCGGCCGAGCAGGGCGGATGTCAGCAGCCACGCCAGGGAGGGCCTCACCCCACGCCAGCAGCCCGGGGCCAGTGGGCTGGGCGGGGCCCAGGGCGCGGGAGAGCCGGTGCCCTGTCTGGGGAGGCTGCTGCCCTCAGCTCCAGCGATCAGCCAGGACAAGCGCTGACTCGGACGCGAAGTCTCTGCTCTTTCAGGCTGTGGCAAAAGCGCCCTGCGTGGGCCACACGGCGCCGGAGGGGCGCCCGGACGGGGACCGCGGTGGGAGGGTGCCCCCGCTTCAGTCTGTGCCCACCCCTGCCCAGGAGAGGATGAGCCAGCCGCGGCCTGGCCCCCGGCGCTGAGCCCGCTGCCCGACACCCTCCACCCTGGGAACCACCCTGGCCCCGCTCCTGGCCAGAGGTCCTTCCCGCTCCAGCGCCAGGGGATAAAGTCCGCGCTCCCAGGCGGCGTCACAGCGTGGGCGTCGCCTCACCCCGCAGGCTACGCCTGGCCGCCGGACCAGAAGCACGGGGAGGGGTTGGGAGCATGAGCTTTGGAAACAGACCCTGTTTAATGCCAACGCTGCCATTTTGCTCAACTGGCATTTTCCCCAACATTCTCCACGTGGGCTGATTCTGTCACCTAACGTCCCCCCCACCCCGCAGTGACTCCTCGGCCATCAGGCTCCACATGCGGCACGCGCGCTAAAAAGCCAGTGGAGGTCAGGGCTGGGCCTGCCTTCCTCTGGGCTCCCCCGGCCCAGCCGCACCCCCTGGGGAGAAGCCTGTGCCCACTGCACGGGCACTGTCAGGCCCGAGGACAAGTGCGCGGTGCGGGGACAGGAGCACAGAGCGCAGGTGCGAGCGCGGGGCGGGGCCTGTCGGAGGGCTGGGCTGGCCGTGGGCCTCTCAGGACCTGTAGGGCCATGGAGAAGCCGGGGAGGGCCAGCACTGGGGATGAGGACGGTGGCAGGGAGCTGGGGTATCTGGAGAGGTCAGCGAGCAGGTGCTGGCTGCGGGGCCACGTGAGGTCAGGGGCGAGGGCCACTCTGGTCAGTCTGGTTCAGCGCGAGCCACAGGTGCCGGCATACCTTGGGGGCGCCCGGCTGGATGGAGGTGATGCAGGCCGGGTCCACGAGGGGCTTGGGCCGGCGAGCCGACTCCTCGATGAGGCTCTGCCACTGGCGGGGCAGCCCCGTGAACTTCTGCTCGTGCTGGTCAAAGCCCGTGTGCACGCGGTGCTCGAAGTTGGACGGTGCTGAAATTTCCACCCGCTTCTTCTTCTTCCCAAACATGGCGCCGAGGCTCCCAGCACCGCGAGGGCACGGACTTGGGTTCTTGCCCGCAGGCCTGCAGGAGGGAAACACTCACCAGAGCCTGCCTGTTCCTCCCCACTCCTCGGGCGCGGTCCCGGTCCTGTCATTGCTTCCCTCCTCTCTGGCCCCTGCTCCCCCACCTCAGCCAGGGCCCACTTCTAACGCCCGGCTCCCCGGCTCCGTAGCACCTGCCCCCGCTCGGAGCCCTCCTGCCGCCCACCCTGCACTGCACCACCCCAGCCGGCACCACCTCTCGCTCTCATGACGGCTCCGCTCGCACTGGCTTTCGCACCCCAGGGCCTTTGGCCTGGCGATTCCCTCTGCTTCCACAGTTTCCACGCATAGCTGCCTCCCTCCTTCAGGTCTCACACCACTGCTAAGTCCCTTCCTGACTCCCCTGAGGAAAAGGGCGGCTAACTCTGGGCCTCCTGCAGTGCACGCCCTGGGCTCAGCGGCTCCACGCCATCCCTGGGCGTCAGCCCCGCAGGCCTGCTTCCCGCGCCCACCCCCGGCTCCTGAAGGCCTGGCGAAACCTCCTCGCCTGCCCAGCCTGGAATCTGAGCGAGGAACACCACACACCTTGAGGCCCCCTCAACACTGGTTGGGAGCCCCTGCCCCACGCATGACCCCCGGGAAGCCCCACTGCTAAGCTGCTGCACAGACACAGAGCCTGAGGCTCGGAGGAGGGAGGCTCCGCGGAGACCACACCAGGGAAACAGCCACTTCCCAGCAGGCAGTAGCACTCAAAACTCCTGTCTGGAGGCCTGTGGTCTCCGCTGGGCACTCGCGACAGTAAGCGTGAGGCCCGGGTCGGCTCACGCAGCAAAGGCGCTGGTGGGGAGTTGTGTTGCTGGTGGTGTCCCTGGGGCCAGAACAGGAAGGAAGCCACCAGCCAGAGGGCAAGTCCCTCTGCTCACTCCCTGGGAAAGTGCCTCAACCTCTCTGCGCCTTGGTCAACCCCACAGGGCTGCTGGGAGGGCTGAGCTCGCCAGAGCAGAGCAGAGCCTGACCCAGGGTGGGCACGGACGGAGGGCAGTGCCAGCCAGCCACTCTCGTGAGCACGATTCTCCCAGCAGTGTCTGCGGGGCCCCAGGCCCCCCTCCCCTGCCCCACACATAGCCCTGGAGTGCCACAGACCTGGTCAGATGCTGGCTGTGCTAAAGTGCCCTGGGGCAGGTGACGTCTCCTCTCGGGGCTTCGGGTTACTCATCTGGAAAGCAGAGAAAACATCCACTCACCAACTCATCTACCACTGCCAGTAGTAACTCACTCCTGGGTGCCTAGTCTGTGCGGGAGGAGGGGGGCGGCCAGCGAGGTGGCCCAGACAGCCTCTGGCCTCTGGGGCATCCAGTCCAGGGGCAGACAGCCCTGGCTCTAGGCAGCCAGGGAGCGCCAGGCCCAGCCTGGAGGGGTGGGCGAAGGGATGCAGGGGAGGGGACCTGCGAGCTGAGACTGAAGGGCAGCCGGCAAACGCCCAGGGTGGAGGGTTCTGTCTGCTCACCGACTGGCTCCCGGCGCCTGGCGCCAAAGCCTGCCAGCGGCACAGGCGCGTCCCACCCAGCAGGGGTGCCCACAGGTGTGTCTGGGATGTGGCCCCTCCAGCCCCCACTTCTCCATCCAGGATCCTTTCCGGTGGGAGCCGCAGCTCCAGGCTGGCTGAGGAACAGCGACTGGCCCAGAGGCAGGCCCAGCAGCGGCAGGGCAGCCGCCCAGGAGAACCGGTCTGGCAGCAGGAGCCCAGTGGGAGGCGGGTGGGACTCAGCAGCTAACCTGTCTCAACTGGTCCTGGCCTCCCAGCCAGCAGGTGGCCAGGGCTAGGTCTGGCCTATCCAGGCCAGGGCTCCCCAGAGGAGCCGCTTCCCACTTCCCGCGGGCCAGGAAGGGCCCTTCTGCCTCTGCCCCTTTTCTGGCCCCGACCAAACCAAGGTGCTCAGCCCTGCCCTCCCCTCCAGCCCCCCCCACTCCCTCTCCCTCCCAGACCCCCGAGGCTCCTGGCAGGGGCACTGCTCGCCTGCTCCTGGTGTCTCCATGCCCTGGCGCCTATCTCAGCCCGTACACCCCCAAATCCACCTTCCCTGCTGGCACCCTAGGCTGGTGCCCTTGGCCTCCCAGATAAACCCCTGTGGCCCGGGCTCAGCCTCATTCCTCACCTTGAACTCTCCCACTCAGTTCTACCCGAACACCTTCAGGAGCCTGGGGGCGCCAGGTCAGCTTGGACCCCAGCCTGCACCCAGAGAGAGGGCAGACCTGAGGTGGGAGGAGCTCCGTGTTAAGATGGGGCGGGCGGGCGGGAGGCAGCCTGAGGATGGGGCCGCTGCAGCGGATCTCCTGCCCACGGCCCCCAGACACCTCTACAAAGTTGCTAACACCGAGCCCTGCAGGGGGAGAGGAGGGGCACACCTCCGGATATTTGCAGGGGCCGCCCCTTCCCCTGGGCACTGCGCTGAGGGCAGGACAAACAGAGGAACTGACCATGTTTATAACGATCAGGGGGCGCCCCGCCCTGGGGCAGCTCCCAAGCCCTCTGGCTCAGGCCAGCTCCCTGCCAGCGCCCTTTCCCACAACGGCCCCAGGCAGCATGGGGGCCCCAGAGGGGGAGGGACAGGAGCTGTTCCAGAGGGAGGCGCCTGAGCAGGAGGGACAGGGCTGGGCAGCGGGGAGGCTCCCACTGGGCCCAGCACTCGGGAGCTGGCAGGCAAGTCTACTGCCCGTCCCGGTGCCCCCTACTTTCTGCACCCCGAGGGAGGAGTAAGACAGCCCCACAGAAAAGCTCAGGGCACCAGCCCAGTCTCTGGGAGCCTCCGTTTCCTTCTGTTAGGAGGGTGGGTGCTGCACCTGCCCCCTGGGGTGCTCAGCAGCAGGAGAGGAGTCAGGCGCCCCGACACGGCCCACACTCTGCACGCCTGCTGCGTGCCGACCCCTCCTCCCGGAGCGCCTCACTGAACCCGCACACTGGACCCAGGAGGAAAGGGCTGTGACGGGACTTGAGTGGTAGACAAGGAAAGAGGGGCCCAGAGAGGGCAGCCTACCTGCCCAGGCCACACAGCCTGTGGCGCGGTGGCGGCCCGAGCGCCGGCCCGGAATCCCCAGCAGCCGCGGCCGTGCAGGGTGGGGTGTACGGAGCCCTGATGGTGTCTGACCCCATTTTTCCCTCACCAGGTGCTCTCATTACCCCAATTCACACATGGAGAGACGAAGGCCCAGGGAGGGAACCGCCTTGTGCAGGGCACTCAGTATTTGAACGGGAGTTGGGGAACAAAGTCTCCCGCACAGCACGGGTGACTGTCGTCCTCCTCGTCCCCCAAGGCCAGTCCTGACCTCCTGCTCCCCACCCTGTCTTGCCCTCCTGTCCACGCCCAGACCTGATCCTGCCTCTAGGAATGCGAGTGCCTAGTGGGCCACTCTGGTGAGCAGAACCGCCTCCTCCCGGCCGCCATCTCGCTAACACAGGCCCGCCCTCCACAAACGCAGCTCACCCCCACTACTGTCGCCACCACTGCCACCACGACCTTGAGGGGACCCCTGGATTCCAACGCTGGGCTCACTCAGTGGCCCCCGACTCCCGGGCCCTGCGCCCTCTGCCTGCCCCGTCTGTGCTGCTCTCCTGTGGCGCACGGGCCTCGCGCCTGTGCACTGGCTGTAGCGCCCGCCCTGTGCTCACTGACAGAAGTCCCCAGGGCTCCCCTTCTCCCTCCACCCTTGCTGCTCCTGCCGGCCCCCCTCACCCCCTCACTCCCACGCAGCACTCACCACGCGCCCTGCTGCCCTGCACCCTCCGCCCCGGCCACGCCAGGGCACAGCAGCGCGACCGCCCCTGCCCAGAGGCTGCGGCTGCGGCGGCGTGATTCCTCACACATGGAGACCAACGAGGCTGCACGTGGCCCTGGACTGCGTGTCCACGTGGGCACCCACCCTGGCCTGGAGCCCGCAGGGTCTCGGGGGCGCCCGTCTAGGTGTGTGTGGCTCTCAGCGCCTGCTGCTCCCCGAGAATGGGGCCGCGGCGGGCACCAGACCCGGCCTGGGGCGCACAGCCGGTCACTGCAGCCGCTGCGCGCCGCTGCGGCCCCACACCTGGCTGCCCCGGCTGCTGGGAAACGGGGGACACACTGCAAGGGGTGAATCGTTCATATATGGGACAGGCGGTTTCTGACCTGTCCTGGCTAAAGCTTCAGATTTTCCAGTGAGTCCTGCTGATCCACGAGAAGAAAACAGTGGCCCCTGCGAGGGGACAGTCCAGGCGGAAGGCAGTGCCACTTGTGACAATGGGGGGGGAGGTGGGGGGAGGAGAGGGGGCGGGGGAAGCACAAGCACCAAGGGACCCCAGGTGCCCTGCAGGGCAGGAGCCCACACAGCTGCAACCAGGCCCCCAAGAGGAGAGTCGGGGCCCTCTCACAGTCGCCACATGGAGCCCGCGGCCAGCAAGGGTGCCGCGGAGGGTGTGTGAACCCGGCGCACTTCAGGCTTCCGCCACTGGCTCCTGCTGGCCCTCCTGCCATCAACCTGACCTCCCACCTCTGAAGCCCCTGCCTGCCTCAGTCTCGCTGGCCTTCTGGCCTACAGGAAGGCGGCTTCTGGCTGACCCCAGCACTCCTCACTACCCCCCAGACCTTCTCTGCTCCCGCTGCCTACCCACAGGACTACACTCCCCCGTTCAAATCTCTCTCCAGCCCCCCGCAACTCGTTCCTCCAAGGCACCTTCGGGGACCTACTTTCAATCCCTCACTGACACAAGCCCAAGCCCCTTCCCTGGCAGACAGCTGCTGTACCCACAAATGACCTCACCCCTATGTGTGTCTACCCATCAACGCTGCCAAGGGCTGATCTCTGCCAGATGAGGGCCAGGCCCACAGCAGCTACTAGAAATGCCATGGAGGCCCGTGCTGGCAGAGCCCACATCCTGGGGGCCAGGAGACGGTCCATAAGTGAGACACCTCAGAAACACATCGAGTCAGCAGCGAGGATGGGTGCTGAGGAGAAAGTAAAGCCCACATGGGGAGAGCCTTGAGCCTAAGGGGAGGCCGGAAGTTCACAGAGGCAGGCAGGGAGGGCCTTGCTGAGAAGGGGACGCAGGCAGGGATCTGAGGGCAGGGGAAGGGCACCCCACGACACCTGGAGGAAGAAGGCTGGATGCTGGGAAAGGCCAGCGCAAATGTTCTGAGAGGCCAACCTGACGTGGGGGTTAGAGAGAGACAGCAGGCGCCAAGCGGAGTCCCCTGAGCTCAGCCCCGTGTAGACTGAGACCTCGCTACTTACTTCAGCCCCCGCAAAGCGTAACCCTGGCCAGCATGGGTGCGGTAACCGGCCGTGAGGAGCGGTGGCGAAGGTGTCAGGGCGCCCTGGCCCAAACAGCTCCCCCGCTGCCGTGCCGCCTTTCTGCCCACAAAGCCTCGACCCCCTCCAGCTGCCAGCGCCCACCTGCTGGCGGGCTGCCGCGGGCTCAGAGACTCCACGAGGACAGGCTGGCCTGCAGGCGAGCCGCGCGTCTCTGATGTCTCTCTCGTGGCCAAAGGGCAGAGGGCAGCAGGGCGGTTGGTGACAGGCAGGTCACTTGGGGTGTGGGGAACCCTGTTTAACCCCGGTGAGCGGGAAGGCCGTGGCTCGGCTGGCTGAGGGGCCCAGCTCCGGGACAGGAGCAGGGAGCTGGGAGCTGGGAGCTGGGAGGTGTGATGGCGGCCGGGGAGCAGGGCGAAGGCCAGGCTTTGCCCAGACCGCATCCCCAGACCCAGCACCCGGCGCTGGGTCCGTCTCTCCTGGCCCTGGGCCATCACCTAGGAGTTACGGGTGTGTCACCACTGCCCCCCACAGAGCCTGTGGCTGGGCACAGGCAGGACCTCAGTGTGCTGGGCATGCTGGATCCCAGCAGGTTGCCCCTGGGCGGCAGCCAAGCGGTGGAGGGGGCCGCACATGTTTCCACAGACTCTGGCCCAGGCCCTGACCAGGCGCGCAAACCAGGCCACGCCGGCCCGGCAAACAGTTCTCGGGTGGGCGGGCAGGTGGAGAGTCTTTCCTTCCTGTCTCCCAAACCAGGAAACTGAGGCCCAGGGACTCCAGCGTCAGGAGGCAAAAGTGACCCAGAGGCCTGACGCTCCCTCAGCCTCCGGCTTCCTGGCAGCCCTAACTGCAGCCATCACTGCTCTCGGGAAAGAGGACAAGAACAAGGTGAGAGCCAGCCCCACCGCCAAGGACCAGAACCAAGCGCAGAAGGCGCGC